CCCTGACTATAAACTTTCCAGCCTGCAGAAGTGGAGTAATCATAGATATCTTGGAACTGGATGTACTTCTCTTAACTAGGGAACACAATATGCTTGTTTGCTTATTGATATGTTTAATTCAATAACATGCAATATAGGGGGAAATGTTGAAATCTAAAACATTTTATAACCCTATACCTCCCCTCCTCGTGGGCTCTGGGCTCAGCTCTGGATGTTTTACATTCAGCCTTTAACTGTTTCTTGTTCTGCTGCAGCAAAATAATGTTTTCCAGTTTGAAAGACTGCCATGGTTCAGCATCTGTTTTCTTCATGAGCAGAGTCAGACTTTCTTGTTACAGTGACCTAACTTAAATATTATAGTGGAGATTCAGCAAAGGAAGAAATACCACTGTGTTTTTCTCAAGTTAAAAAGATCAACAAGAGGACTTTCAAATTTAATTGGACAGTCATTTTCTCATTTACCTAATGATAATCTGGAATTACAAACACAAACTTGCTTCTTTCGTATGTTGTAACAGAGAGTGCTCACTGAGTGCCTCAATGATCTGTGATCTATGAGATTTCTGTTCTCTGTGTGGGAGTGAAAAGAGCCAGTGTGAAGAAAGATTGCGTGAGTGTGTGTCATCAATCAATCACATTTTATTTTATAGCCCATATTCAGAATTTGTCTCATAGATCTTAAAGGTCCAGTGTGTAAGATTTAGGTGAAGGATCTATTAACAGAAATGGAATAATCCTAGTGAAGTTTGCTCTAGTGTTTTTATCTAAATTGTACAGAATGTTGTTTTCTTTTATATTTATATTCTTTATATTTAGAAGAAACTGAGATGATTCCACAGGAGAGGAGCTTGGTGCTGAAAGCTCTGGCTCCTCCACTTTTTTTTGTAATTTAGGGAAAACAGCCTGAATATGAGGGAATCTGGGAGCTCGGGGCTCCAGTGGTGATATGGTGCTATGAGCTCTTTAAGAATTTGCACATGGATAAGAGTCTCGGATACATTTAGAAAACATTAATTTAATATTATTGTTTAACAAGGGTTAGACACATGGTCACACCTGCAGCTCTGAATGGAGGACAACAAAACAATGGGCTGACACATTAATTAGACTTTGGCTGTGTTCATTTGTCCCGACAGTTTCATAAAGAAGTTTTTTTTACACCTCTTATAATAATTTAAAAATCCATTTCCTCTCTGTCTTTGTCACTGGGATCAGCTCTGACTCATCTGTTGACCGACAAAACATCAATACAATATTTTACTAAAAGTGTTGCTGCTAAAATTAGACAAAGGAATAGTTTGTCACCACAGCGTTCACTCCTGACATGCACTCGCTCACTTGTGGTCATTGTGTTGGTGTAAAGCTAAGGGAAGATCTTTCCTCCTTTTTTTCACAGAAGAATAACGCAAATGAAGGAGGGAGGAGGGAATGATGTGTTTGTATAATATCTGCGAGGGCACTACTCATTGTACTCTTTGTGTTCAATCGTGCAGCACAGCAACACAACATAGAAACAAGGTGTCAGACACATGTGAGGCTTTGGGGGTTAGTGCATCCAGAGTGACCCCTGGTGTTTGTGGTCAGCAGCCAAGTTAAGGACAAAAGCAACACAGGCGGAGCAAAGCATAAACGTTTAATTTTTAACCAACAGTCGAAAACTAAATGAACCGCATCCGCAGCAGTGCTAACTTTTTACTTTCTAATAATCCCACTTCATAGTGACATCATCATGATGTCCTTCATACCATATGCTGAGGATTGGTTAATCTGAATAAACTGAAGATGTGTAATTTAGTGGTATCCCAAAGTAAACGCATTACCACATTTAATGGCTTCTTTATCTGGCTTCTTGTGACATCGTGATGACCTCATCCCTACCATATGACCATAAATGATGTCCTAGAGAAGGCAGAGATCTATTTTTAACTTTTCTGACGTCATTGTGACTTTTTCATGATGTCACAGATCCTGTGACGTCATATGATGAGGAATCATTTTCTGATCATTATCAGTTATAGATATTTTTATTATATGTGGAGTTATATTGTTTTTCAGCTCATTTTTGATGACCCTGATCTTTGTTCAGTTTCTTCATATACACAATAATTAAAACATATTGTTTTTTGGTCAACTGACTAACTGATAAATTGTTCCACACAATATGTCTACACATGAGAAACAATCATCTCTCTCACACACAGACACACTGTATAGATTGTGCAGCCTGCACTTTGTATTCCAGCAGAGCACTGTCTGCCTGGTTTCATGTGAAAGCCCATTCATTCTGACACTGACACGCAAACTGAGACACGTGGCCATCCTCCTCCTCTCCCTCCTTCTCCTCTCTTCCCTCTACTGTTCATTTTCTGTATGTCATGTCATTTGTGTACATACTGGGATGGCTGTATAAGAAAACTCTTTAGTTTCATTATATATATATATATATATATATATTCTCCCAAAAAGTCCAGTTGTTTACTGTATAATTTTCTTCTCACTTACTAGTCAATGATTAATGATCTTATGATTAATAATTTAATAATCTTCGACAGCACAACACTGCTGTGGTCTTAACTACGTATTCACACATTTTTACCCTCACTGTCCTTCTATATCGCGTGTTTGTGTGTAAGTGCGCAACATTTTGCAGTAACATGCTGCTCTGTTGCGTGTCCTGCCTCCCCCTCCTCACCCTTACCCCTACCTCCCCTCCCCCCTCCCTTCTTCTGTTCTGCTGTTACACAATCAGTCATTGTCCCTCTTATTTTTACTCTAATAGCATCATCTGCTGGTGAACAGTTAAAATGGCGACCTGATGTAACAAGATTGTATTTGAGGAAATGACAGTATTCATACAGTCAATATATATATATGCATATATATATATATATAAATACACTGTCTTAATAATCTACCAGTTGAGACAGAGTAGCAACATATTGCGACAATGTATTAGGAGTCTACTTTGATCCATACTATATATCAGCAACTTAACCTCAAGACTAACTAGCTGCTTATTAAGGGTTTGTCAAGAATAAACAACCTATTCAGTAAGAATAAGAAATTGTTGAATAAATACCTAATACATATGTAGTGATGCTTAATGCAGATCTTATTGATCATTAATACATACACGTATTACTCATGTATTAGTGGCTAACATTGTGTTCCCTAAACTAAAGTGTTACCCTGATTTTGATTCGTGTAGCAATGATTATTCTGTAAAGTAGTAGTTGAGTGAAACAAGACACTTGAAGACGTCACCATGGATTTATTACAGCAGCATTTTTTACAGTTGTGTTCATGGTCCAGTAAAATTCAACACTGGTATAACTTAACATTTCTCTCTCTAATCCTTCTCTTCATTCTCTTTCTTAGGGCCAATCAGCAGCATCCTTGTGAACAAATTTGGCAGTCGACCAATCATGATAGCCGGTGGTTGTCTGTCAGGGTCAGGACTGGTCGCAGCCTCTTTCTGCAACACTGTGGAGCAGCTTTACTTCTTCATAGGAGTAGTGGGAGGTCAGTATTTCACCCGCCTCTGACATAAATGTAATATTTGAATGTTTAAATATATAAATAGTCTTTGTCTTGGTCAGTATTGCCTTTTATTAAAAGAAAGTCTGTTAATAAAATAAAGATTCAAAAGGAATGGATAAAACACACCCTGAAGGTCTGGACAACTATTAGAAAAAATACACTGTAAATTTCAAGGGCCAATTCCCTCCTTCCATGTGAGATAGTGGGTTCAAAAGATTGGCCAATAAAGGCATTGGTACAATCAACCAGAACTCAAAAACATTTGGGAAACCTCTAACTACAAACTCACATAAAGGAATTAACAGTGAATTATGGAAAGAATTTGACTGGAAACAAAAAATGTGATATTTCTACAAACCTTTTATCATCTCCCCATATGCAGATCAACCATTTGTAGACTAACATTTTTGAGGACGCCCTATGTCAAGCAATGTTTGTGTTTTTTCAATTTAAAAAACTAAATAAAAAGTTCCCCAAAAAAAAGAAAAGAGCAGAGGAGCCGAATTGCTTGTAGACCAGCGAAGTAATGCACCTCGATGCTGCCAGGGGCAGCCACCTTGATACAGCTAAGATGCAGCACACAAGTCTAAACTGAATGAGTGTAAAATGTGGAGGATCAGGAAGACTGATGTATTCAGACTTTAAAAAATAGTTTGTAAATTACAACACACTTGTAATAACAGTTACAGTCTAAAAAATGTTTGAGAGCACAATCATGAGGCTAGTTGTGATTCACACCTCTAGTATTCACACACTGATGAAAAAATAAATCATGTGCCTTGATAATCGTTTTATCAACAAATCGTAGCCGTCTGAATCAAATCGTGAAGTGGCTAGAGACTACCAACCCTAATTACCTCCACTTAAATTCACTAAATCAAACCACACACACTCTGAAATAAACACATCTGATTGTTTTCCTCATTAATTATTCTCTGAGAAATTTGTGAACCATCCTTCATCAAGTTTACTGGAAATCTGTTCTGTATGATGCTGCTGACTAACAGACGGAAAAGGCAGATGAAAACCTAAACTCCTTGACAAAGGTAATTACTATTAAAGAGAAGAAAACACAAAAGCAACCAAATATATGGAACTTGACCTAAAAGAATAAACTTAACTGCAAATCTTTTCTGCATTTATTATTGGCTAACTGATAAATCGATTAGTGTCTCCTTAGGTCTCTCGTCTGTTTCTGCAATGAAGATGTCTGGAGACAATTTCTAAGAATTTATTTCATATTTGGCAGAAAAAACAGTAGCCACAGAACAACAACATTTAAGATTAAAGATGAAAACTCAGAAATCTGTTTCAAAGCAACATGAACTTGCAAGAACTCACATTTTTCTTGGTCAAAGTTGGAAAAGTTTTATTTTCTGAGATATTTGTCCTTTTCTGTGATTTTTAACACATTTCCTCTTCTTCGCTCTCCTCTTCCTCCTCCAGGTTTGGGACTGGCCTTCAACTTGAATCCAGCCCTCACTATGATTGGAAAATACTTTTACAAGCGCCGGCCTATCGCCAACGGCATTGCTATGGCAGGCAGCCCAGTGTTTCTGTCCACCCTGGCTCCTCTCAACACCTGGCTCTATGATGAGTTTGGGTGGAGAGGCAGCTTCCTGATCCTGGGCGGACTTCTGCTCAACTGTTGTGTGGCCGGCTCCCTTATGCGCCCCCTTGGACCCAAACCTCAGCCCGCAAAGCTCGACTCAGGAGCATCGGATTCAATAGAGCCACAGCAGAAGAAGACAGTCCTGCAAACCATCAACTCCTTCATTGACCTGACGCTGTTTAAACACCGCGGCTTCCTATTGTACCTGATGGGAAACGTTGTTATGTTCTTCGGTCTCTTTGCTCCGCTCGTCTTCCTCTCTAATTACGCCAAGAGTAAAAACATCAGCAAAGAAAAGGCTGCCATTCTTCTGTCAGTGCTGGCCTTTGTAGACATGATTGCCCGACCCTCCATGGGCCTGTTGGCTAACACCAGGTGGATCCGGCCGAGGGTGCAGTATTTCTTTGCAGGTGCCGTCCTTTACAACGGTGTTTGTCACGTTATGGCGCCGCTGTCGGTGGACTACACTGGATTTGTGGTGTATGCCATCTTCTTTGGTTTTGCGTTTGGCTGGCTGAGTTCAGTGTTGTTTGAGACACTGATGGACCTGGTGGGGGCTCAGAGGTTTTCTTCAGCTGTGGGTCTTGTCACTATAGTGGAGTGTGCACCGGTGCTGCTCGGCCCGCCACTCACAGGTAAGACACTCAGCATGCATTGGGGCTGTCAGGGCTGGGCAATTAACCGAAAATGTATTGAAACTGACATTTATAACCTCTAACTGACTTAATCTTGTTCATGTCCGTTAATTTGGGTAATACTGCATGCATTCACAAACTGTCGGGTTTCCACTAAATTCCTTATTACCCTTCCGAGTGTCCTCACTCACTTTACATGTTAACAAGACCACAACAATACATAGGTTCAGTCAATGGGGTGTGGCCAAGAGGAGAGGCAGAGAAGACCGTGTGTTTTACACTTGTAAAAGTCTGCGTGTTGTTTGATAGATAGATAGATGAACTTTAAGATCCCACATGGGACATTGCTGACCCAGGGTCTCTGTTAACTTTTTAAAAAGTCTAAAATTTAGCTATTTTAATTTTTTGGCCTGGAAAAGTCTTAAATAAAACACTACATCCTTTTCACTGTAACATCTATTTATCTGTGAAGTAAAAATGTTTTGGCATCATATGTATTATATGTCTACACTCAGTCAGAACTGATCTCAGTTCACTGAGCTTGATATCATAGATCTTGAATTTTACTCATTATGGTGTTTAAGTCTGAAAGGTAACTACAGAAACTCTGTAGTAACAGTTTAAGTATCTGTCTGATGTGACAAATTTAATACTTATCAATACTTAACAATATTTTCTGTTCCGGTCATTGTGATGGGTATAATCTCATCTAATCCTGCATGAGAGAATTAATTCAAAAATGAGGTCTGCAATGAAAAATTATTTTCACTATCATTAATTTATGAATTAATCATATCTATAAAAGGGTTATATATACCGTGAAACTATAAGTTGTTGCTGTTCACAGAGATTGATTTAAATCACATTGACAAGACAGTACAAGACAAAAACAGTCTGACCAGGAAACTAAGCAAAGCATATTAAAAGGTTTTAGAGGTAAAGACAACAAGGTGTATGACTTTGTGTTTGAGGGAGTGTGTGCACGCGTCTCACATTATAATGAGGGCGAAAGAGAGAAAACAGCAAAAGTAATAATAAAAAAATCGATAGGAAAGAATAGAAATAGAAATAGAAAAAGTACAATAGATAATTATTAATCAATCAATAATTGTCAGCTGTATTAGAGGTGTGTTGATGGTAAATGTGTTGACCGCGTGTTTTTGTGAGCTGTTTTCCTTTATGAGCGTGTCGGGTTTTGAGATGGAAAAAAAACAGTTTAGAGTCCGTCTAGGGTGTTGTTTTGGGTCTGAAGTCTAGCAGATGAGAGCTGCCATGTTGGATCTCACACCACAAGGTCTGGAATCACAGCCAAAGTCAAAGACTTATATTGTTTATCTCATCTGAACCAATCACCTACAGACGTACAGCTGTTCTACATGTAGAGAGTTATATTCAGTAGTTTTAAAAAAAATTAGAATACTGATCCAGATCATCATTAGAACTTTAGATGTTAAACTGAGTTGTGTCTCTGTCTCTTCTCCACCTCCAGGTACTTTCTATAACTACTATCAACACTATGACTACACCTACATAACCTGTGGCATCATCCTCATGATCGCCAGCGTGTTCCTCTTTGTGGGAATGGGCATCAATTACCGCCTGGTGGAGCGAGAGAAGAAAGAGGAGGAGAGGCAAGAACGAGAGGAGCCCAAAGAGGAGCGCGCTGCCATGCTGGCCCCTCCCTCTCCATCCAAATCAGATGAGGAAGCAAGTGAGGAAAACCGCGTGCCAACCGCCATCGAAATGGAGGAAGTGGCCAAAATGGATGAGGACACAGTGTAAAAAAAGAAAAAAACAGACTTGTGAGGGACGCATACACGGCTTTGCACACTTCACAAAAACACATACAATAGTTGCAGTTACTCAGAACAACCACACACTGTCTTTATATAGTGAAAATATACACCAGCCTGAAGCCATAGAAACACTTAAACGATTAAAACCTGAGACCTGCTGCTGCGATGTGAAGCTTAAAGCTGGCACGCATCATTTCACTGCGTTGATACCGTTAGTTTTGGTATCAAACGTGCCTTCAGTAAACTAAGTCCTCCAGGAGCCATGTTAACACTAGTTAGAACATAACCCAGTAAACTAATGAGGACTTTACTCTCAGGGTGTTCTCACAAGTCACTGGACCTCCACTTTGCCAACAGTTTTAAAGTATGATCAGATACTGTACACGAACTCTGTAACTCTGCACACACGTGTTGTCAATGGTTGGGCATAAATTAAAAGGAAACAGTTATAGTTTATGCAGTGAGTCTGAGACCACATATGTAATCAAGGGACTACTGGGTTCTGCTCACATGTCAGAGGGTGACATCTCCAGGTTTTTAAAGAAAAACTTCAAGAAGTTCAATATTTCATTGTAGGAACAGCAGCGATAATTTTAACCTTTAGTCAAGAATATGATGCAGAAAAACTGTGAAACATTTAAAAATAGAAAGATGTAGTAAAAGTGAGAAAGTTTAAAACTTGTGGAGCGAGGATCACCTGTGTGTGTGTGTGTGTGTGTGTGTGTGTGTGTGTGTGTGCGTGTGCGTGCGTGCGTGCGTGCGTGCGTGCGTGCGCACAGTTTTAACTGAAGCCTGGTTTCATTATTTCCGAAACTGCATTTTCAGCACATTAATATCTAAACTGTGCATCATATATCATATCAGAAACTTGTTACTTAAAAGTGTATCACAGTATAGTCAGTGGTTATTGATTAGTGATCAGTTTTATTAAACAGTGTGAACAAGGAATTAGATTCGAGGAACCAGCCAGAACAAACAGGTTACAAGTTAATAAACTATAGAATGAAATTTGTAATTGTTTAAAAGGAAGCATCATCAACACATTTATTGAAAAGACCAAACGTTAACTGATCCTGCTAACCAGTAGGGCTCTGCAACTGATAATCATTTTCGTCTATAAATCTCATTAATGACAGAAATGACCAGGAAAGATTTTCTGTCATGGTATAAAATTACGACATTGAAAAGGGTGTTCAGTACATTCACACTGTATTATACCTTAGTTTGTTTTGAAAGCTTTTATAATAATGTATTATTTTTCAAACCAATGACTTACAGAATGTAAGTTGTTGTGCTAAATGTCTGTTTTTTGGTAAAGATGGAGATTTGTTTATTTCTGCTTCTACCAGCGCCTGAACTACAATGCCGGATTTGCGCATTTCGGGGTAACTTCAGGATGAAATTGGGGTTTCCGGTCCTATGAATTTTTTTTCCCAAATGTCTCCAGGGGGCGCCATAACTTATACATTGACACAATCACAGATGTTTTACCAGCTGTTCTTCCTGCATTTAGCAGCTGCACCTGTTTCTTTTATTCTGGATCATGTGTTTGTTCTCCTCTGACTTTTATTATACAACAGTTTGATCCTCGTGAAATATGAGGCTCTGCTGTCAGTCAAACTGTCCCAGTCTGTGGTTGGTCATACGCAGTAGACCCCGCCCCTTTTGTGTGCACTCGCATAAGTTAACTTAACGAGTTGATAACCAGCGTCATTTGACCACTTAGCCTGACTGTGATTGTTAGGTTAAGTTCAGCTGGATTTCAGAAAGATATCCTGGATATGTTGAACTTCGTAGTACAGAACTCTGAAGTTTTCACTCGTCTCTTTACTAGAATCTGAAATAGATGATGGACACGTCAATTTTACAGTAGAAATAAGAAAAGAACTCAAATGTGCTTAGTCTGACACATATCACATGACAGGTATATTTGAATTTAACCACATTCAAAATTAACAAAAACATTCCATTATTTTATCGTTGAGACGTGTGACTGAATAAAATAGTGAAGGACCACAACAAAAACATTTAATTAAATGAAAACTTAGTATTTCTAGTGCAGGGGCTTTGAAATCGGTACTGTACTTAGTCGCAGCACCTTTTTGTGTTAAATAAGAACAAATCGTTATCACGTTTCTAGAAAATAATACTTGCATTAAATGTTTTTATCTTTGTATGTGTGATAACATGGCTGATGAATGAAAGAATAAACTGTTTTTAAAACAAAACGTACCTTATTTGTTCTGTAAAAATAAAAGGAACGTGATCTGGCTTAGCATAGAATAAAGACTGGCCTGGTTCTGTCAAAACAGTTAAACCCATACAACATAACTGTGACACTTAGTTCTTTTAGGTGCGATTATGTGTCGGACTATTTTTGGGATATAAGCGAGCCTACCCTACTAGTTTAGCAATTGTTTCAAGCCAAGACATAGTTGGGTCCATCATTTTCAAAAACAACACTGCTGACATAGAGTAAATTGGGTTAATGACCTTAACTGCAGTCAGCCATCAAGGGTTGATCAAGAAGATTTAGCTTCACTTTTGGGAGCTGTCATGTCAAAGTGTAGAAATGATGATCTTTTTCATGTAATGTGTTGTTTCTGACTAGTTCTTGAAAAAACTACCTCGAGCAACAGCTCACAAATATTTCAGTCACCACAATCCCTTAAAGGGCAGATTTTAATTATTCCACTTTATTTACATTAAACAAACTAAAGATAAAATATGGTTTAGAAGAGCTGAATTTTTACATTTAGGACATCAGGGTAACTACTTTCCTTTCTATATGCTAACTTCATGCTAAGCTTACTGTCAGAGCCATAGCTTCTTTTCTCTCCATCATATAACATTCTCACATAACTAATGTTTTTTGTATTCACGAATAGAGAGATGTGATCTTGTGTCAAGAAACCAGGTACAGTAGGTTATTTCCCAAAATGTCCAATTTTACCCTTAATTACAACTGACAATGCTAAATGTTCGAGTTGTTGTGTTGTACAGTGAATGCTACACACTCTGTTGTGTATGTATGACATGCTTTTATGTGTGTGTGTGTGTGTGNGTGTGTGTGTGTGTGTGTGTGACTCAGTAGTTGGAGTTGTGCGTGGTGGTGGAGTCATTGGCTAAAGAGCCTCGACGCTGAGTGCGACAAAACAGCAGCCGGACCTCCAGAGACACACTGCTGGAGAACGCAGAGTAGATCCATGGGTTTGTGCACGAGTTGAGACTGGCCAACAACATGAGCAAGGTGAACACTGCACCTGTACAGACACACACACACATGCACACACATACACACGCACAAGGCCGCTTGTAAATGACAAGTACAATTAAAGGAAGCATCATTAAACATGTAAAAAACGAATTAATAAAAATATAAGGGAAATGTGTGCATGTGTTTATTTATATATAAACATAAACAGTTAGCTTCTCTGCATTGGCTTCCTGTAAAATCCAGAATATCAAGTTCCTGCTCCTCACATTTAAAATCATTAACAATCAAACCCTTCATATGTCAAAGAGCTCATAACACCATATTATCCAAAAAGATCACTTCACTACCAAAATACAGGTTCTCCTGTGGTTCTAGAGTCAGTAAGAAGAGAACAGGAGGTAGAACCTCCAGCTACCAGGCTCCTCTCCTGTGGAACCAGCTCCCACTCTGGGTTCTAGAGTCTGTAAGAGGAGAACAGGAGGTAGAACCTTCAGGTACCAGGCTCCTCTCCTGTGGAACCAGCTCCCACTCTGGGTTCTAGAGTCTCTACATCCATCCAAGGTGAAACCTAAAACTTTCTTCTTTGATAATGCCTATAGTTCTGGATCAGACAAGTCCTGAACCATCCTTTAGATTTATATATATGTGTGTGTGTGTGTGTGTGTGTGTGTGTGTGTGTGTGTGTGTGTGTGTGTGTGTGTATATTTGTATAGCACTTTTCAATACAAGTTCAATTCAATTAAATTGTACTTGTATAGCACCAACAATTCTACATGTAATAGTATTATTAATGAGCAGCAATTCATATTATAATGCATATGGTAATAATAATAATAACAATTGTTCCAAAGTGAAGGTGCCCTCACCGTTCTGAGGGGGGTCAGGGTCCCAGGCGGCCCACAGCTGCACACTGAAGAACGGGGCCCAGCACAGCGAGTAGACGATGACGATGACCAGTGTCATCCTCACCGTCTTCGACATGGCCGCTGACACTTCTCCACCTCGACATGTGGGGGCTTTTGGCAGGGAGCAGACAGCAAAGGGCGCTACCGGTTCAGGCTGCAGCTCAGCTGACACACAAACAGATGTTATAAATGAATTCATAATTTAAAATAATTGATACATTATTAATTAAAAGGTTCATATCAAAACATTTTCATAGCAAAACACATTTTTTGCTGTTGACTGTTCTAAACAGAACACAAACTGCAGTACTGCTCGTACCAGGATGTCGAGCTGTGTGATCGTCACTGTTTGAGTTGATGCTGTTGGATCTGAGCGGACCCAGGGGCAGGTGCTGATTTGCGGATCTGAGCTTAGAGTTATTGTTGTACATGGGTGGAGAAACATACAGCGAGAGACTGGACGCCCTGTTACTGCCCCCCCCTCTGGATGGAGGGTGCAAGGCGGGCGACATGCGGCGCTCTGACTTCAGGTACAGATTGTTGTGGATCTCTTTGAAGATTCGCACCTGAGGGGAAATAATCATCAAACTTTATTTGTATCGCACCTTTTTCAAACAAATCTAATCCAATTCAAATTGCTTCACATGTGACTGACAAAACATAGGATGTTTTAAAAATGAAATTAAAACAAGTTGAAAACATGTTAGTTGGGGAAGTTTTGGCAGAAAACATGGTCTGATTAGAAGAGATTGCATTCATCCCACTTTGGATGGAGTTGCTCTCATATCTACAAATATGACAAAGTTTATAAGACAAGAGTTATATGTATAATAATTATAAGCCCAGAGTTGCTGGGCTTTGGTCACCCCCAATACCCTATCAAAGGGTTAGGGTTATCACCTAAATTAAGTAAATCAAATATAAACAGGAGAGGAGTAATACAGACAAAAAAAATCAATACAAGTACCAATTCAGAACCAAAAAATAAAAGCATAAAATGTGGTTTATTTAAAAAATGGTCACTCTATCCCAAATCTCTTCTCATCTACTGAATGTGATTACTGACCATCGGTTTGATTTACTGTGTCTCACTGAAACCTGGCTGCAAAAAGATGAATATGTGGGTTTAAATAAAGCAATCCCCCCAACTATATTAATAAACTCACAGAGTTCTACAAGCTTCTGTACCTGGACCCATACTTTTCACTTGGTATATGCTTCCTTTATTAGAGAGAGGAGAGAGAGACCTTGAAAACTTGAGCATCAGGTATCAGCTCTGACTAGTTCTAATGGAAACAATAACAGTGTAAGGAACTTATTGATTATGAATGATAGCAGAAACAATTCATATAATTATTAATTACTAGTATTGTTAATACTAATATTAGTAATAATAGTTGTTCTGCAGCAGTTCTGGAGTCAGAGTTATCTGCAATGAGAGAAAAAGAGAGAGAGAGAGAGAGGGACTATGGGAGAAAAAAAGACACATAGTTATTGACATGTATTAAAATAAATTAATTAATTTGGGGGGGCAGAGAGACAGAGAGAAGGGGAGAAGTGCTCAGTGCATGATGGGAGTTCTCCCAGCAGTCCAGACCTATAGCAGCATAACTAAGGGATGGTTCAGGAGAAACTCAAACTTACCCTCTTAAAGACATTAAGACCTGGACGACCCAGGGCTTGTAATTGGCCCTAGACCTCAGAGAAACATTGTCTGACCAGTTAAATGGTGTTAGCTTGGCCCCCAGCTCTACTGGGAGCAGATACTGCTGCTGGGTTCATGCTCTTCTACTGTCCATCTCTCCCGGTGTAACATCTCCTGGTGTCTCCTGGTTGAAAGTCTCCTAGTGTCTCCTCCAGGCTCTTCAGAATGTGGTGGAGACACAAACCTTCTTATGACCACACATGTGTCCTCCTGGAGGAGCTGGACTACCTATGCAACCTGATGGTGCTACAGGTAGCGCCTCGTGCTACTAGTAGGGACGAGGACATGAGCAGAAGACAAAACTAGAATCAGTCTGGAAGGATCAGGAGAGAGCAGCTGTCTGTGGACACCACATTAAAAACATTCCCTGTTTGGTGACTTGGTCGCTTGTTATACCGTGATCATTGGGTTTTTGAGTAGTGCGGTTAGTTCTGAATCAGGTGAGCACATTCCTCTGTCTCTCTAACCCCAATTTATTTTACTACATGTCACTTACTTTGGGTTTTATCCCTCCCATAGTCTCTCTTTTGTTCACTTCTCTTTGTCTTTCTCTCTCTCTCTTCTCTTCCCTCTTTTCCATTTCCTCTGCTCACCAACCGGGTTAGGGTTTGGTTCTTTCTTCCAGTTAATGAGGAGTTTTTTCTCTCACAGAAGTCAGAGCTGCTCATTGTGAGAACTGTATAGTGCCTTGAAATAATGTATATTAAGATTTGATGATATACAAATAAAATGGAATTGAATTGGATGAATAGACTAATAAATACCAAACAATCAATGAGAGAAAGAATGAAAGTTAAGAATAAAATGTTTGTATAATAAATACTAAAACTTTGGTAAAACTAAATATGATAAGATAAATAACAATGAAAGAAAATTAATGTAAAATGTGAAACGATACAAACTATGTAAGAGCCTGGTTTAATAAGTGATTTTAAAATGCATATTTAAAAACATTAAAATGTTCAGCTCATGTCATCGACTATTTGTCCCTTGTTCTGTGTTGGAGCTGAAATGAGAGTTACAATCTAACCTACTCCTTACAAAAACCTGCATTAGAGACAAATTACCTCACTTTAATGGAAACATGACAAATGATAAAATGCTGTTCTTGTTACATATTGAAATAAGAGACCTCCAGTGATGGTGTGGTAAAATAAAATCTATCAACAGTTTTCAGAAATACGATTTTGTGTCGGAAGTAAACTGTATTGTCTGGTCGGGATCTTTTCTACCTGACAGACAGTAATGATGAGCACGGGGAGGATGAAGACGGCGAGCGTCATCCAGGTCACGTACGCTTTCAGGCCCCACGACTCATCAAAGTTACCCCAACACTCATACACCCCTGGAGCCACTTCTGAACGGGAGAAGATGAAAACCTGGGGACAAGAAGATGTGTGAGAGTGTGTGTTAGTTTGCCTCTTTTAAAACAAGGATAGAAGTTTACATATTGAATATAAGCTTCTTGTCAAAGGACACAAAATAATTTATTATCTGTTTGTTCATTTTTTGTTTGTTTGATTGTTGTATATTTGTGTCATCTGGACCATAACAATCATCATGTGACATCATGACACATTTGCATAATACAAACCCACCAGCCTGTGTAGCACATCCCTTAACAAAGGTTAAGCAAGATCAGAGACTGACATTTCTTGAAGTTTAACTGTATGGAGTATGTCTGAATAGTTATTGCACATGTGGAGTTATTGTATGTATTACATCACGCTTCATTTACCTGACGCTTTTATCCAAAGCAACTTTAAATAAGTGCATCTACCATGAGGGAACAAACCCAGAACAAGAATCAAGTAAGTACATTAGTTTAAAAAAAGCCAAACTACAAAGTGCTACAATATAAGTGCAACTAAACTAAACTAACTGTTTGTTTGTTCTTTTAACCGAAGTGTAGTCTGAAGACGTGTCTTTAGTCTGTGGTGGAAGATGTGTAGACTTTCTGTCCTGATGTCAATGTGGAGCTCATTCCACCATTTAGGAGCCAGAACAGCAAACAGTCGTGATTTAGTTGAGTGGTAAGCTTGCAGTGAGGAAGCAGCTGACTGGCAGATGCAGATGCAGAGCGGATAGGATGGGCTGGGGTGTAAGGTTTGACCATGTCCTGGATGTAGACTGGACCAGATCTTTTCACAGCACAGTACGCAGAGAGAGAGTTGGTGTACAGAGAGAAGAGGAGATGACCCAAGACAGAACCTTGAGGGACCCCAGTAGTGAGAGGACAATATTCTGACACAGATCTCTCCAAGTTACCCCGTAAGTGCGGCCACTGAGGTAGGATGAGAGCAGGGAGAGAGCAGAGCCTGAGACACCTAGATCCTGAAGAGATGAAATAAGGATCTGGTGGTTCACTGTGTCAAATGCTGCAGAAAGGTCTAGAAGGATGAGGACATCGGAGAGAGAGGTTGCTCTTGCAGAAGTTGCTCAGGGACAGTGAGGAGGGCAGTTTCAGTTGAGTGGCCTGCCTTGAAGCCAGACTGAAGTTCACATTTCCAAATAAAGTACAAACAGGCAGGAAAAAGATGTGCAGAGGGTTGTAGTTATGAGTTGACTACAAGTTTAGGAACCTGATGGTCTGATGGTGGTGCAGCCCAGCTCCTGAACCTTCTGCCAGATGGAAACAGAGTGAACAGTCTGCTTGCTGGATGGACGTGCTCCCTGATGATGTTGTGGTCCTTCTACAGACACTGCTGGTGGTAAATGTCCTGGATGGCTGGGAGACTGTTTCTAACTATGTGTTGTGCCACCTCTACAATTCTCTGCAGTGATTCGCGGCTGTGAGCAGAACAGTTTCCCTACCAGACTGGTATGCAGCCCGTCAGCAAGCTCTCGATGGTTGACCGGTAGAAGTTTGTGAGGATCCTCTGTCTCCTAAGAAAAAAGTGCAGCGGACGAGCTTTCTCTGTTTGAAGTGTCCAGGAGAGATCCTCAGTGAAGGAACCTGAAGCTGCTGACCCTCTCAATCTCAGCATGGCCGATGTGGATGGGGGGGGGTGTCCACCTTCCTGCTGTATTCTGTAATCCACAATCATCGCCTTCGTTTTGCTGACATTGAGAGAGGTTGTTTGCCTTGCACCAGCTCATCAGTGACGTCATCTCCTCTCTGTAGGCCATCTCATGGTTGTTTGTGATAAGGCCCAGGATGGTCGTGTCATCTGTGAAATTAATTACTTAAGAGTTGGAGCTGTGCTTGGCTGTGCAGTTGTGGGTGAACACGGAATACAGGAGGGAGCTGAGCACACAGCCCTGAGATGGGCATGTGTTGAGGATCAGCTGAGAGGAGATGTGACTGCCAATTCTCACCACCTGGGGCCTGCCTGTCAGAAGGTTGAAAATGTTGGTCGACACCACTGCCAGTTGATCAGCGCACACCTTGAGCGCACAGCCTGGGATGCCATCTGGCCCGGAGACTTTTGGTGGTTGACCGTCTTACATCGGCAGCTTCGAGGGTCAATTTGGCAGCCTCCCCATCCACACATGGGCGTGTGGCAGGCACTTTGTTGTTCACTGAACTATGTCCCTGGTCCTCCCTCTGTAGTCTGTGATGCAGCCTAATCCAGAACACATGACCCTGGGGTCAGAGCTGCGGTAGTTGGACTCCAGTCTGACTCCAATCTTCCACTGGCCCAGGGTTTCTGGTTGGGGAAGGTGCGGATGGTAGTTTTTGAAACAACATCCTCGATGCACCTTCTAAAGTGACCCATGACAGATATTGCTGATATTTCTCAGTTGTCTGAAAACAGTCCTGCAGAGTCTCATCAGCCTTTTTGTTCCGTATGTTGATGACCCTGGAAACACTCAAATTCTCAACCTGAATGTCTCCATTAAAACCTCTTCCTGCTCCTTTGACGGTTTAAGTAAAAAGCTTGAAACTACATAATGTCATTTGTCAGAGAAATTATTTAATGTATTTTTTAAATATCAAGGATCTTCTGGTATTTTATAAACCCTACTCAGTTCTTCACTTATACATTCATCAAACCATTAGAACCTTCATATATTTATCAAACCTGTATCATCCAGCCTGCCTGTGTCATCCTACCTGTGGCAGGCTGAGCAGCAGCGACAGCCCCCAGGCCAGCAGTATGAAGGTATTCCAGCGTTGGGTAGCGCCACTGCGGTGTGCCTGCAGGGGGCAGCAAATGGCGTAGTGGCGGTCCATTGTCATGGCAACTATCATGTAGGAGGAGGCGAACATCCCAAGGACCTGCAGGTACTTCACCAGGCGACACAGAAAGTCGGGGCCAGGAAAGCGGCCATTGGCATCCCAGACCAACTGAGGCAACACCTCCGGGGGGGAGAAAGATGGGTGACATGTGGAGAAGGGTGCATCCAGTGTGTGTGTGTGTGAGAGTGTGTGTGTTACCTGGAACAGTGCCACCACTAGGTCAGACAGACAGAGGTTGAGCATGCACTGGTGCAGCGGGTTATGGTGTTGTTGCTTCCGTAGCAACACGACCAGCACCAGCCCGTTGCTGAGCAACGCCATCACCAAGATGGCTGCTAGAACCACCACCTCTGCTTTGGCCAGCAAGGCATCCCGCTCCCACGCTGTGACATTAGCGCCCGGAGAGGCCACAGAAACCACTGACCAGTCGATGGACGGGTACGGGTCTGTTACCATAGAGACTGACATAGTGGCTAGGAGAGGAAAATAAAGTAACAAAATAAATCTAACCCAACATTGTTGTATTCAGGTAGAATTTAAAGATGCATATTACATTTATCAGATGATACTTTGCGGATTAATATGAAATGAATTAGGATAATCTGAAGTATGAAGTACAAAGTACCATACAATTTAGATATTTAAGTACAGTGCAAGTACCTCAGTACTTAGTTACTTTGTCTGCCTAGTTAGCGATTGCCAATTAAAAACTCCCATGTTTTTCCCTTGGTTCTCAGCATTATGACCAACAGTGGTCACAGGATGTTCAGTCACATGATGTCAGTGATTATGAAACATGATATGGTCCAATAGTTTGTGGACAATAAACCTTTACAGGCCTCAAAGTATCACATGGAAGTATGGAACAGTACGGCTGCATGCTAGTAGTAAGAAGTGGTATCGGAGCACCTGTATGTAAACACACTCAGCTGAAGTTAATAGGTGTGAATGTGTAGGTCAAACCTCCAACTAGCACATTAATTGTGAAACAATGAGACATGAACCATGTTTACAGTTGTTGATGCACTTTTACAGTTCAACACACACAGAAACAAACAATCACAGAGGCATGCAGAGAGGGCCCCTTGTTAAATGAGAAACAATTTCCCATGATCGACGTCACACACTAACTAGAAGACAGAATCACACAAAGAATCTACTGTACTTTTTACAAAACTGAAAGAAGAGAGGGACAAGTTTCATACTAGGAAGTAACTGGTATCTTTAATCAGGTACAGTTTTGAGGTACTTGTACTTTACTTGAATATTTCCATTTTTGATGGAATCTTTTAAGTTGTTAATTTTTTATTCATATTATTTTATTGACACTTACAACATTATATGTTGGATTAAAACATTTTTTGAAGATGAGAAACGTATTACTTAAACTTCTCATTGTCCATACAGTTTTAAAATCTAGAATTAATATAAATAATAGAAACAATATAGATTAATATAGAATCAATATAAATTAATATAGAATCAATATAAATTAATATAGAATCAATATAAATTATAAAATCAATATTAATAAATAGAGAGTTCATATAAAGAAATCTAGAATCAATATAAACAATATAATCAATATAAATACAATCTATATATTAATTTTCAAAATATAGAATCATTATAAATAAAGTTCCTGAGTCAACTCAAAAAATTTGATCATTCTTTTCTTGATCATCGTTCAAGAAACTGAGAAACAAACTGTTGTAACTTTTACAGATGAATTCTCTCTCTGTGGTGGGGATCCGTCCTGAGGTCGACTAAACGACAGAGGTCACACTAACCTCTAAGGCCCCGGCTGGAGCAGCGAGTGACAATGAAGCTGCTCAAAGCTGCTTCAGTCGGTCAGTCACTTCTTAGTCAAGTTTGAAGGCATCTCTCAGCAAAAGGCCGTTCCAAACACTGACTAAACTTCTTAAATGTTTCCTCAGAATATACGTGTTCATGGAGCAGAGGGATGTACTGATCTTTCAGCTCATCTTAGCTTCAGACTCAATGATTTCATATTGTAGTTTGTCAGAAACATCAGCTGGTTCCACATTAAACAGATTAACAAATGTGTCCAGTTTCTTTAGTTCGCTCTCCATGTCCTGAAACTTCTCATCCAAAGCACCTGTGAACATTCAGCAGCACTCAGCTCGTATATGCATATAGTTCAGAATTTTACTAAGACTGGAGCTTCCAGCTCTGCAGCAGCAACAAGATTCCCTCACAAATTCTTCTGAATGACATTTAGCTTCATTGCTGAATCACATTGTCTCAAACAGAAAGATGTCGTATTGCATCCAAACTCCACCCAAGAGTGTAAGTGTTCAGGATTTTGTGGCATAACGTGAATATCGTTCTCAACCAAACTCAGCAGGCTGTCATAGAGCAAGTGTCCACTCTGAGAGATGTGTTACTCAACCATCCAAGATTTTTTTTGTGGAGGGAAGTTTACAGCTCGTAGGCCGGAGGTTTTCCACCCCCACAAACACCCATCTGAACCTGTCCAACCTCATTACAAGTGACAGCAAGTTCCTGATTAAAAATTTCGGTTTCACTACAAAACAGTCGAGAATGTCAAGAGCAAAAGCACAAACAATGATCGTTGGCTCACTCATCGCTCACCTCGTCCTCGTCCTCAGCGTCCTGTGAAGCATCTGTAGGAGCCACGACAACCTGATCTGCGGTTGCACACACTGGCTGCATCCATGCTGTGAGTGTGTGTTCCTCTTGCTTATTGCTCTGTGGGTGACCTCTGCCAACTTTCTCTGCTGACTCCTGTCTCCCCATCTCCTCCCTTCAACCACTCTCCCTCCTCCTGAATACATTCCTCCCTCTTCTTGCCTCAAAAATGAACAGGGGCAGAAAAAGAAAGTGGGAGAACTGAAGTGGAAAGTGGGTGTGTTGATGTCCTGCTGTGTCACTGAATTATGTCTGATTGATAAGACATTCACCATGTTACTGTTGGTTCCACTTTGATCCAGATTCAGAGCAAAAAGTGCACATTTAAAGATCAAACACACATTAAAGTGAACATTGATTCTGCATCAGCAGGTGATGAAGAGATGCAATGCAAAGTTTTGGGACAGAAATGAGAAAAGAAGAATATCTTTCTCTGCAGCTTCTTTCCTTCTCACCCCTTCTCCCTGTTTTTCTTCACCCCCCTCCATCCTTCTCTCCGTCTCTTGCATTCCAGCTCTCTTTCTCTCCTCCTTTCTTTCTCTCTGACAGGGGACTGTTTGCTTCCCCTCTGTTGCTCCTTCATTTGGAGGAGCCTCTAATTATCGAGGGGCCCACTGAGTGACCTTCAAACATGTACACAGAAACATGAACACACTCACACACGAGGCCGGTCATCGCGAGCCACTTCTTTTCTTTATGTGACACTAAAGCCGATTGTTTGCATCTGTGAAGCAGTTTGAGTGAACATCAATAGATTCAGTGGAAATCCAAGCATAGAAGTAAAAACACTATCATGAAAAAATAATAAATAATTTTCAGCAAATTACATGAAAACAAGGCCAGAAAACGTGGTCGCCCAGCACTCTATGACACTTTTACTTCATTCATTCCTGATGGAGAAATAAAAGTCATGCATGTGTAAATTTATTGAAAAACTATAATCATTGTCCTGTGGTTGCTTGTTTCCACCAATCAGAGCAGTTTGAGTCAGAATATGTTCATTTCAGACTCATATGAAGTCACTACTATATGACCTTGGATTACCCAAATCCAGTCAGGTAATCTGAATGGAGCATTTGTACCAAATTGAAAGAAATTCCCTCAAGGAGTTCATGAGGGGTCCTGTTCATGAGAATGGGACAGACGGACAGACTCAAAACATAATGCTTCAGGCCACTGGGTGTTGCCAGCACAAAAAAATGTTTTTTTTTTGTAGAGTGCATTTGTTGGGAACTATTTTCAGCAGCAGATTAAAACAGTGAGTCTTTTCATGTATGTTTCACTCTGGAGTTTTATGGTTTTAATCATCTGTTCATCATTCCCTTTAACTTCCATGTTTGTGGGGTTAGGGTTACAAAAAACACTTTGTTCATTTCTGCATTTGATTTGTTTTTTTGTTGTTGGTTTTGAAGTACAACTCAAAACCTACAAACTTGGTGGAGGGATCGGACCAGCTGCACTGCTGTAGTCATGTGTGACGGCCCCTGCCTTATTTCACCTATTCTTTCAGGTGATCCAGCAGGTAACCGGTGGCTGGAGACTCTCCTGGTTGGAAGCCTATAAAAGCCTGTCCTCCTGGCTGAGACTCTCTCTCTCTCTCTCTCACATGACTTTCATGCAGTCTTGCTTTGTTCTCATCTATCCAACATCATCCCCTCACCACACACACACTTGTGACATCATGTAACATACCTCACTCTCCACAATCATCTATAATACACACCCAAGGCGGGTGTGTATTCTCATTAGGCAGTCTTTTTAAGATGAGTAAATTTCCCATCAGTCCCTTTGCTTGCCTCGCTGCTGCGTCAGTGTTGACTCCCACAGGAGGGTAATAAATATGTTCTCCTCACTACCAATGTATCTATGTCATCATTGGGGGAAGGGATGGACACTAACATCTTCTACTGTTGTAATAAACATTTGATACACAAGTTATATGACTGAATTCATTACATCCTGGAATTTCTTTTCACTTTCTTCAAATATGTTTTATGACCAATAAATCATTTTGGTTCATAGTTACCTCCACCAAGGAGGTTCAGTTTCCACCCCTGTCCATTTGTTTGTTGTTTGTGTGTTTGCTTTAGTTATGATCTGTGGAGAAAATCCAGAGAATTTTCTCCAGAGTTTGTGTTTCACAGCAGCAGGTATTCTGCACAGACTCGTTCACAACAGCATCAAATCCGTTTCATTCTTCAGGTCAGAGGTGGAGCAGCCGGGTGCAGCAGACAGAGACAGGAAGTGACATATTGTGGCAGTCGACCATGCCACAGGGCTCTCACCACAGCAGCCAGAGACGAACCATTCAGGTTTTAACATTTTTATTTCAATCCAAACTAAAGTCACAAAACACTTAACTTAAAGCACTTTTCTGCGGGTGTCTGGCTTTCCAGCTCAGCCCCTCCCCCATGTGTCTCTGTGTCCTCTCGTCTGAAGTGTTCATCGTGAGGCAGCTCTGCCGCTGCCTTGTAAACCTGAGGATCAATCAGATAACAGCTCTCATCTGCACTGATTGATCTTCTGTGGTGCAGGTGAAGGTGCTCTCCCAGCCCCCTCACCTCCACACATATCACCTCTGCTGAGATATTTTGCTTTGTCCCCCCCCCCGACTCACTCACAGTGAAAGCCTCATATCAACTTCTCCTGGATTTCTACCCCTAACTAGGAAGATCTCACTCTGACATTGGCATTCACACATGCACCTCCTCCGGAGAAAATACGAAGGAACTTCGGAGTTCTGTGCATGTCTGAAAGCAGCTTATGAGAGAAAATAATCTTTATGTCTGTGTTCTAGATGCTCAGCATGCGCAGCCCCATGTTCTGAACTGCATTCATGATGGACTGCACAACTTCAGAGGTGGAGCCTTGACCCCCGAGGTCAGCAGTGTGCAGCTGGAGAACAAAAGAGGAAACACAGAGAGAAAACTGTGTGCAGAATAGTCTCTATTGTTTGTGTAACACATAAAAACCACAACTACAGGATCCTAATTTGCATAATTTTGGACACACAAACTTGAACTTGCTGCTTCTTTCTGAAACTAAAGAAAGAACCATAAACAATCATTTAAAGGTCTTTTCAATCTTTTTAAATATATTTTAGGGTTTCATTGTCAGGACAGTTCACATGTGAAACAGGGAGAGAGAAAGAGGGAAAAAAACGCAGCAAAAAGCAGAGACGGAACCGAAGCCTTGGCCGCTGCACGACAACATATGAAGACTTGAGTCCAAAGTATTTAAAAGTCTGTTGTGATCAGGATTATGATGGTGTATCCAGATCGTGGTAGCTGCTGATCGTGGACTATGATTACAACAAGACTGCTTGATATACAATATGTCTACTCAGATACTCATTACTGACAATAATTCCTCAATTCCTTTACCTTCCATCGTGCTACAAACTGTTTACTCTAACCAATGCTGTAATAACTCTTTGACGTTCTCCATTACACGTGACATCTACTGCCCTTCTGTCCGTCCTGGGAGACGGATCGTCACGTGTCTCTCTGAGGTTTCTACGTTCTTTCTCCCTGTTAAAACGTTTTTTTTCGTAATTTTTCCTGACTCTTGTTGAGGGTGAAGGGTAGAGGATGTCCCACCTGGTTAAAGCCCCATGAGACAAATTGTGATTTGTGAATATGGCCGATACAAATAAAATAGATTGATGAATGATGGAGCTGATTCTGACAGTCGAAGCTGTGACTCTCAGTCAGTTCTTCTCGCAGGAGATCGAACCCACTCACCACATAGAACAGACGTTCAGGGAATGAAACATTCTCCATGTTCACACTCAAACATCAAACTGAGGTGGCTGTGGCTGAGGGAGTAAAGTGATCATCCTCTAACCAGAAGGTTGGCGGTTTGATCTTCCTCATCTGCATGCCGAGGTGTCTTCGGGCAAGATACTGAACCCCAAAATGTCCATAATAGAATAAAGTGCTGCCCATAGATGCACTGTATGAATGTGTGTGTGAATGGGTAAATGGTACTTTACTGTACTGTAGAAATAGTGTCATCAAGACTAGAAAAGATCTAATCAATCTGATGATTTAAGGTATAAAGGTTAGTGTTCATTTAAACAAGTAACCCAACTTACTTTTTTAGATTTGATGTGCCTGGTCCAATAGTTACTCAGTAGCTGCATGTTTAAGAGTTTATCATAATCGGTTTGTTCACTTTCCATTTGGCTTCATCCTGTTTGGTTCTATAACAAAACTCAAATGTTGTTAATAAGTAGCTAATGATTGGACATATTTGATTAAACTGTAATCAGTTATGTGTTGAGGAGTGTGGTCAGGCGTACCCGAGTCTCTGTGACAGTGGTGAGGATGGCTCTGCGGATCATGCTGGCATAGGCGTGATCGAGCAGCAGGCAGGATGGCTGTGGGGTTTGCTGTGTTTCGGTTAGTGATGCTCTTTCCTGTGTCCTGTCGGTTATAAATCAAACTCTGATGTGGACTACAACAACTGGACCGATGTTGCTGAAGAAAAAGACAACTTCTGAGTGGACTCGGATAAGAGCAAACTAAACAATAAATATCCGTGGGATGTAACAGAGTACATTTACTTAATTACTGTTCTTACGTACATTTTTCATGTATCTGTACTTTACTTAAGAACATTTATTTTCAGGTACTTTTTACTTTTACTCTATCACAGTTTTATAAAGCATTACACTACATTTTAACATTGTTTTTATATTTTTTAAAGGAATATATAATGAGAGGGGAACTGGTCATTGATGCAACCAAAGTGGGCAGGTAAAATTAGACCCCGCCTCCTGCAGCTACATCATCACAGGTAAAGAGGAAACACCTGAAAGACTAAGACACGATGATCTGGTAGACTGGCACATTAAGTAATAGGATACTCTCAGCAAGTACTTTTAATTTATTACAGGTATATTTAAAATAACAGGTACTTTTACTCAAGTAGAAAGGTAAATTTGGTAATGAAACATTTGAGTACTTCCTCCATCACTGCCAATTAATCATTCGTGGAAACAATCTTAACAGTCTCATGATGTTGTTCTGTCATTGTGATTATTGTCATTATTTGGATTCTAGTATTGTTGTTTATATTCAGATATAAAAATAAATCTGACTTGACCTTTTAATTGAACTGTATTAACAATATATATATTTATATAAACCATTTGATAACAATGTGAATTTGATGATATATTCCTTGAAGAGTCTAACAAGAATGATAAATACTATGCCTAAGCCTAACTGTGTGTGTACTTTTGTGTTTTAATGTATACACACACATACACACACACACACACATAGATCCTACTTCATCCTAAAGGCTCTTAACTCTCCGGTGTCGTTAAGTGTTTGTTCATTGTAATTTTATCAGGTTTCAATCTTGGGATCATGTGTGTTGTACAAAATAAAGATGAAGTGGAATCTCACCTGAATATTCACGTACATGATTGGCCAGCTCTGGTCCAATGCCATCTCCAGGAATCAGGGTGACAGTGTTTCTGCCTCCATACTGTGCAGGAGGAGGCTGAAACACACACACACACGTAGAAAGCCCTCAAATAATCCAGTATCTGCTGACTCTAACACAGAAACTTCATGCACACGTCTAATGCTACGTCATTGTTTGTTACCAAAAGCCTAATAAGTACACATACTCACTATGGTCTGTGGTTGGTGGACGGAGGGTTTAAGAGGGTGAGACAACAGGGAGGTGAGAGTGAAACATAGATAAAACCAAACAAAAAAATAATTGACATGTTTGTGTATGCATGTGGGAGGTTATAGAAAATCTTGATAAACTGTTACATCCACATTAAGCAGCTGCTCTTTCTGTGTAACTCACAGTGTATGTGGACGTGCATCTCTGATTACATGCAGCAGCACCATGACCCTGTCGAGATAGACGGGTCATTTACAGATAACATGTATGTTACAACTGTGTGATAAAGAAGTTAACAATGAATTCATCCCTCCACCAACAGTCTCCTTATAAACCAAATTTAAACCGCCTAGACACACATTTTTATTTAGATCAAATCACACTTACTCAGTCTAAATAAATAATAATAAATGTGTCATGGCCCTGGGCTCTGAGCTGGTAGTTATGTTTCCTCTTTTATTTTAATTCGCTTGACTTCCTGCTTTTTACTTTCTGCTCCCTCACTTCGGGGGCAGGAAACAAACAAAGCAGACAACTCGACTTCATCCACATTTACTGTTCATTATTCTGTGTAGTACTGCTACCAAACAAACATAAATAGAACGTAACATTACGTCCCTGGTGAAGGTAATGATCAATCATGCAGGACAAACAATTAATTTGTGAGTTTAATAATTATTGTAATAATGATATGGTTATTAAACATTTCTCAAAGATGTTTCTGTCATTTCAGGTCGTTCTTATCACACTGATGTTTGTTCAAGTATTTCTGATCAGTTTGGTTTTAAATAGTTGTTTGATGATATAAAAACAGGATTGGCAGCTGAGACTGACTCCTGATTATTTGAGAGAATGTATGAGCGGTACCTTGAAATCACTCATATTATATAGTTTACGGCACTTCATCAATTATCACTTAATTCGCTTACTCTTACTGGAAACTCCTAATGCTAACTCCTAATGCTAACTTCTACTGTTACAGTACTATTCTACTGTGCTGTTCTCTCTCTCTCTCATGCTGTTCATTGTGGGAACTGTTGGTGTCTCTATAAATGTTACGGTGTTGACCTTCTCTGTAAAGAGCCTTGAGATAATGTATACTACCACTTCTGCCTGTAGACTGACAGTGATCCTGCCCTGAACAGAGGTTTCCCTGATCCCGACAGAGTTCACACAGCGGGACGCCATGTTGTTTCACTGAGGACACGGGAGCGCGCCGCGCATTCATTGTTAATCTCTCTGTCAGAGTGCATGCTGGGAGTGAGTGTGGCGAGTCCTCTTTCTTCTTCACTTGTGTGTGTGCTTGTCTAGTAGTTTGTGTAGTAGTAGTACTTGTGTAGTAGTAGTAGTTGTGTGTGTTTGTGTAGTA